TGCACTTTTTATTTCTATTATGGGTGATGAAAACAGAAAATGTCTCCGTTAATGTCCCTTCTTATGTTTATGATATGCCATCTCCATGATTTTTGATGTATATATTGCTGGACATACCCTTTGTTCCTTTTATATTTCTTTCGAACTTTTATCCCCATTTTGTTGTGAAGGACATTTTGGGGGATGTAACTACCTGGATCATGTGGATTTTATGGATCATGGGACCATGATATTGGGATGTTTGAGACGTGGAACATTAGGACTCTGTACGTAACTAGATAAATGAGCAGCGAGGCTGTAAATGATACAAAACCCATATTGGACAAGTTTAATGGCAGCAAGCAGACATCCATGGATGTTCCTGCATAATCAAAAAGAGGGTGATTATCTCCCACGGATCATTAGTCGTCCCGAGCCGAGTCAGCCACTCCCATTCTCACACCGTCACCGACACAACGTCTGGCTTCAGCTTCGCCATCTTGCCGGGCATTGCTGAAACATCTCCTCCTAGACCAACATTCCACCTCCTTTCCTCGCTCCAAATCCCCCAGTCCCCCGTGGAGCGTCTCCTAAAGGCTACTCACCCGGGGACAAGCTCCCCAAAGCGGTGATTTTTCTCCCCCCTGCCCTGCTTTCGCAATGCTACAGGCTCAAACCCAGCACGTCTTCTCGCACCAACACGGGCAATATTCCCACGCCGCCGCTGCTGCCGCCGCGGTAGACGCTTCTTGGATTCAGCAACAGCAACAGCAGCAGCAACAGCAGCAGCAGCAACAACAACAAAAGCAGCAGCAACAACAACAGCAGCAATCCCAGAAGCCCCATCCCCAATCATCCCTGGTGGCCCAACAGCATGCCCAAGCGCAGGCCGCAGTTGCAGCTGCCGCCGTCGCCCAACACCAACACTACAGTCGGATAGCTCTGAGTAATAACAATAGCAACAACCCTGCCGCCACCAGTGCCGGTGCGAATAACCAGGTCACGTCGTCCGGTGGAGATAGCGTGAGTGTTGCCGCTGTGGGCGCTGCTGCTGCTAACGGTAATATGGACGGCGGCATCAGCGAAGAGAACCGGCGGGTGCTCGTCTGGGTGGCGGAGCTGATGGATCCCGCCCGGCGGGAGGCGGCGTTGATGGAGCTGAGCAAGAAGCGCGAGCAGGTTCCTGAGCTGGCATTGATAATTTGGCATTCGTTCGGTATTGTTTTTTCTTCTTCGTTCTTTTCTGTTGCTTTCTCTCTTAATTTTTTTAATTTGTTATTTAAAAAAATACTGATTGCCTGTGAACAGGAGTCATGACGTCGTTATTACAGGAAATTATCTCGGTTTATCCGCTGTTGAATCCATCGCAATTGACTGCTGCGGCTTCGAATCGGGTTTGCAATGCTCTTGCTCTCCTACAATGTGTTGCGTCGCACAACGAAACGCGCACGCTTTTCTTGAATGGTACTATCGCCAACTCCTTATTCCCCCCCCCCCCCAAAATATATTTACTGTCTTTCTTTCCACTGAAATTAATGCGAGTGTGAGAACTGTTCATTGACCGATTCTCTACCAAATAGCCCATATCCCTCTTTTTCTCTACCCATTCCTCAATACAACCTCGAAATCCCGCCCCTTTGAATACCTTCGTCTAACCTCCCTTGGCGTGATTGGCGCCCTGGTGAAGAATGATTCGTCGGATGTTATCAACTTCCTCCTCACCACCGAAATCATCCCACTCTGCCTACGCATCATGGAGACGGGCTCAGAACTCAGCAAGACTGTTGCTATTTTCATTGTACAAAAGATCCTACTAGATGATATTGGCCTTGCCTATATTTGTGCGACGTATGAGCGTTTCTACGCCGTCGGAACTGTGCTGAGTAATATGGTTACCCAACTTGTGGAGCAGCAGACTGTCCGATTACTCAAGCATGTTGTTCGTTGTTTTCTTCGGTATGTCCTCTTCAACTTCTTTTGTCTTTTCCAGCTTCCCTTCCAACATTCGCGAATTTGCCGTTCTAACTCATTTGGTGTAATCTCCATCTATAGTCTGAGTGATAATAATCGCGCTCGTGAGGCCCTCCGCCAATGTCTTCCAGAACCCCTTCGCGATGCAACATTCTCATCAGTCCTCCGAGATGATGCGGCGACAAAACGCTGCCTGGCTCAACTTCTGATTAATCTGTCCGATAACGTTGTCGACGGCGCAGCCACCGGCACAACCTTGTAAAATATTAATATCAAGAATAGGAGAAAAAGTTGACAAGAAGAAGAAAGAAAATCAATTAAGAAGAGGATGAAGAAAAGAAAACCACATTGACCATCCTTCATTTTTTTTTGTTTTTGTTTTTTTCTATATTCCTGTGCTCATGATGGTAAAAGATAACTCCCCTGCTCTGATACGAACAGAATGAGAAAGAGATGAAGGAGGAAAACAAAACAGAAAGAAAAGAGGAAAACATGGCAGAGCAGACAGACAAACTTTCGAATTCACATGTGTGGATGGTATTTTATTTAACGTGGGCAGTACGACATTTTGGATATTCCCCCCCCCCCCCCCCCCCTTTTTTTTTTTTACATACGTACATAGGGCGGAAACAGGTTCAAGAACCCCAAAACCAAGGGAAATGAACAACCCAAAAGGAGCATAATGGGGAACAAGGAACATCACTATTGCAATCATTATTTTTAAAAAAAAAAAAAAAATAAAAAGAAAGAAAACGAAAGCAAGCAAACAAGAAAGAAAAGAGAAGAGATGAAAAATTTGCCGCGTGGCCACTTATTTAACTTATGCTTTTTGTTTCCTTCATTTATTTCCAATCAATTTTGGGGATTGATCTGGGCTTCGATTTTTTTTTTCCCCCGCTTCGATGATCCGACTCTGACAAGACTGGAGCTGTAGATGGGGCTGGTGCTGGAGTGCTCTGGTGCTTTGGTTGACTTTTGTTTGATTTCAAGGGGATTTACTGAATGGGTGAAAAATTCTTGGAGCGAACTGGAGGAAAGGAAGAGTTTTTGATGTGATTGATGGGGGTTTGATTTGAGTCTTGAATTTTCCTGGGTCTCCTTCTGTTTTCTTTTCTTTTCATGTAATACACCACACTATCCCACACTATCCCCGGCTCCCCCTTGTTATAGCAATTGTTGTGTGTGTGCATGCGCTCACGTGTGTATATATGTATAGAAGACCATTTTCATGGTAATGAAAGAAGCAAGCTCTTCCATTTCATCTTTCTCCTACATGGTTTGTTTTCCCTGTCAACATCCAAGTGTTTTCATCAGCTTATTTATTTTCCTGGGGCTCTTTTCTTTTCTTTTTTTTTTTTTTTTTTCAATATTTTTTTGTTATATGTACACATACACAGACAAAATAGGCCCTAGTCCATGATCATTTATGATATGCATATTGAGGGGGAAGAGAGGTGAGACTGAGAATTGATGCTCACACATACACACACTCTCTCTGGCTCTCTCCATTCATCTAACTACTGATGACCATCTGCTACATTTTCTGCAAAAGCCCCTGCACACACCACCAATTTATATGGTACCAGCCGATGGTATCAACAGTGTTCTAAATATAAAAGCCCTCAATCTCCCGCAGACCCGCCTGGAACCAAAGCTAAGCTTTTCTCCGTCCACGCTATTCCAAAAGTGGACGTGCGGCGTCGCCAACACCATCCATGACTAAGCAATCCCGTGACTGGGCGTCCCTCTCACATCAAAAAGATTAAGGAGAAGCGCCGAGGCTGCAATTTCTCACCGTATTGCGTCTTTCCGCGCGTCTTGTATTCCTTCATAGCTCCTCTTTTACATAATATCCGCTTTCGTGCAATTCCCTATCCCCGTTTCTACGGGGCAATAGTCAAATTAGAGCCGGCGAAGGAGGGGGAAACAAAAGCTGCTTGTTCTTCTGTCTGATTCTTTTTTCTTACTTGTCACTTGGAGTGTCGTGATTTAGACAGCTAGTTACCCATTCCTTGCCGCGCCAGTCGAGAAATTCCGCCTCCTTAGCCTATCGATCCGCGCCGTCCGCTCCTCCCCCTCCATTCAAGGACGGAACAAGATCGGCATTACGCGTCAAACCATCTCGTCTGTTGTTTGCCACCTGCGGATTCCTCCTGCAATGGTCTCGCGAAAACGTGCCAGAGAGGAAGCGGAGGAGGACGATCCCAGTGTCCGTGTTGTCGTTAAGAGGAATGAGCCGCTGCCGTCGTCGTCACCGCAGGATGGAGTGGAACCTGGCCTGCTTCACCAACTTCGCAACATGTGGGAGTTCTCGAATCTCATCCAGTTTATCTATTCGTTCGGGAAGGCAGTGAAGATTAGTGAGGATATTGATATTGACGTGAGTGATCCCCAAACTGTTTACTTTGGCCCATTCTATCGATATAGACAGCTGTGCACCCGCTATTGGTTTACATTCTTCTTCCCCTCGATTCTGATAATTCTGTGATTGCTATCGATGAGGGGAGCAACTTTTACTGATTACGGTTTCTCTTTTTGATATATATCGCGCGGTAGGAACTGGAATCCGAATGTCTTAAGCCTGGCCCTTCGGAAAAACTTCTCGATATCGGCTTAACCCTGCTAAAATTTGTGTCATCCCATCGCGGACTCACGTATGCCAAACGATTCTCCCTCCGTTATCGTGTCGAGCAAACCCAATTTGGCTGACCTGTTTTCTTTGTTTCGGGAATGATAGATATGAAAATTTTGAAGACTACACTAGGAGACAATATCTAGCGAAAGCACCCTCTCGTAACCCATTCGGTGACGCGGAGGAGCCGATAAAGTTTCATGATCTAGATCTTTTCCAGCGAATACGTGTCTTGCAGCAACTGTCTGTATGGACGTTCTGGAACCCAGATCGCATACGTGAGCGGATGCCGGAAAGCAAAGAGACGGACCAGATTCAATGGGTATGTTATTGATATATTTTTTGGCTGGGCCTACTCCCGCTCCCATAAATCAAGCTCCCGGTTCCGAGGACTAATTGCGTATGAAAATAACAGCGCGTGGATGAAATTGGGTATGACCGTGACGAGCGACTTTACTACGTACTCGACGACAACAGGTTATACCGTCGAACTGACCGTCCTATCCCAGCAGCCAAAGCCGCGAAACCAAAGGCAAACAGCAAAAAGGGGCGGGCACTAGCTCGTGCTGCGAGAAAACGAAAGCTCTCTGGCTTGCAGGATGAAGAAGAACCCAAAAATGATGCAAATGGAGACGTGAAACATGATTCCGCCGGCGGCTATAAATGGGAATGCATCGCGATTACCCTTGCGCAATATAACGCCTTCCTGGATACGATTAGAAGGTCCAAAGATCCCAATGAAGAATTCCTTCGCGATCAACTTGTAGAGAATGTTATCCCCGTCATTGAGAAAGCCGAGGAATCTCACCGGCGCAAGATGGAGCGAAGAGAGAAGGAACTGCTGAGTATGCAGCTCATGGCCAATGCTAAACGCTCCAGCAGAATTGCAAGTAAGCAAGAAAGGGAGCGTCAGGAAATGGAGGCAGCCGAGGAGGCACGCAAACGGGAAGCGGAGCGGATAGCGGCGCTTAAGGAGCTGGAGAAACAGAAGAAGATTGAGAAAGAGCGCTTGTATCGGATGATGACGCGTGAGCAGCGCCTTAAGGACCGTGAGGAGAAACGGAAACTTCACGAGGAGGAGCTGGCTAAGATAGCAGAGGAGGCGAAGAAGATTGAGAGTGGCGAGTCGAGGATGTCGGAGAGACACTTAAAAGCTGAGATGGAAAAGCGCAAGAAGGACATTGAGGCTTTGCAGAATGAGGAACAGTGGACTTTTGACTGTTCAGGGTGTGGTGTCCATGGGGAGAATCTTGTTAGTCATTCCACTCCACTGTCCTTTTCACGGCTCTTGTCGTACTAACACTTGATATCCAGGATGATGGCTCCCACATTGTCGCTTGCGAGAAATGTAATGTTTGGCAACATATCAAATGCCTGGGCATCCCACAGGACGAAGCTGAGAAAGACAATTTTCATTTCATCTGTCGTGACTGCCAAAGGCGCATCGAGGAGGCCAACCTGCCTAAGATCCCCCCGTTGAAGTTCCGCGTTGGTGCATCTTCCTCTCCCCCGTTTAGCAGCAAGGAAAAGGCAAATGGCGAAAGACGCAAGAGACAGGATACCTCTGCTTCACCTTCATTCAAGAAATCCAAACGCCCATCTACTGCTCCATCACAGCCACCCGTAACTCTGAGTCCCTTGGCAAACGGCCATCCACCACCCACTTTTCAGCAGGGACAACATTTACCACCCCCTCAATCTAATTTACAACCTGGTCAGCCAACATTACCACCGTCTCCACAACGCCCATTGTCGCAATCCAAGCAAAATGGTTTCTACCGTCTACTTCCTGTTCCTCAACCGGTTTTGAATCATCAACCTCAGTCCATATCTTCATCATTGTCTCCTTCCCCTTTACCCCCTCCCAATAATATGCTATCAAATGGCCTCCCACCACCCAAAGCCCAACTTCTCGGCCCTGCTCCGCAATTTCTTCATTACCAACCCCCTGGGCTGTATCCCAACCCAAATACGGGCTCCTTCATTCCTCAACGTCCCTCATCGTCGCCCTCGACACAAGGAGACGCCAGCCGCTTCTTATCCCCCATCCAAAACCGGCCCACCATGTCCCCAACCCAGGGAAACAGAGATGTTGGCCCTCTAGCTGGATTTCCATCCTCCTCCACGGTTCCAAACACCGCACCTTCACTCCCTCTATCTTCCTCGCCTCGCGCTAATGATTTCTATTCTCCACCCCGCTCTCACACCACAACCACCTTCAGTTACTCGATACCTAGGCCCTCATCCCACGGCTCCCACTCCTTTATATCTACCCCCACAAACCCCACTGTCACCCCATCCCGAAACACTTTCGCCCATTCTTCTCCTCCCGCACAAACAATACCCATCGCAAACAGCGCCTCCCACTTCTGGCCTCAGCCCCACCAAACACTCCCCAGCCCATCCACAACCACCACCTCCCATCCACCGCCACCTCCTCATCCCCTTTTTCCTCCTTCAGTACCTCCGGAAGCATGAATGCTACTCCTACACAGCCACCAATCCTACCACCCATCCAGAGACTCCAACCCAGTCCCAAGCTGATGAGCGGAGCGTCTCCCGATGCCCCCGTCCGCGTACCTGTCAAAAGCATGACGCCTGAACAAGAAGATCGCAGGCGGCGGGAGGATGAAATGGCGGCAGCGGCCGCGGGAAAGGGTAGCCAGGGGGCCGGTGGGTATATTTGGGGCCAAGTTTTGGTTCCAGGAGAGGGAGAGGGCCAAATGCGTCCTTATTCTTCTTCTGATGAGACGAAAAAGCAGCTTGTGGATTCTGGGATCCGGCTACAGGTTGGACTTGGTCAGCAGCCTCAATCTCAGCCTCGCCCACAGCCAGAACTGCAACAACCGCCACCCCAGCAGCGGCAGCAGCAACAGTAATAAAGTAGTTCCGCGGCGACGTGGGCTCAGTCGACGCATGAGACTAGTAGTCGCCATCGAGGGTGGAGGCTAGGTGTGGTGAATATAGATCTGGAATATGGACTGGATCGGATGGATAAATAGGACGGGGAAGTTTCGGATAAAATGGAAGGATGGGTGGGGGGACCCTTTGCTTTCATCGTTTTGGTGCGCGATACACTTTCTCTGTTGCGTCCTGATTACGCTGCTCTCTTGGCTTTCTTTTTGTTCACCTGGAGCTGAAGATGGCTGGCTTGGTTATCTATCCCTTCATCCCTCCGAATGAATTTGGAGGTGCTTTGGGTTGGCAAATTTGTAATATACATTCGTTAATTGCTTAATACTAGTCTTGAGGGAAAGAGGGAAATGCGGCTTCATTTATTTTTTAATTTTCTCATTTTTATACTCCTTTCTTTTGCTGCTATTCTCTTGGTGACGCATTACGAGGGGAGGGAGGGGGTGAATTCCCAGTTCTGAATTTTTGTGAGGCCTTCGATGCCCAGAATAAACCTCACTTACTCTTCCATCCATGCTCCAATACCAAAAACACAAGCAGCATGACATTGAAAACAAATACATATCCTAATGCATTTAAACCCTTCTCCGGCGACAACCCCCGTCGGCAAGCATCTAAGGGTTGAGCTTATCGATTCTTCTTCTTTCTGACAAATAGCATTGTGTCGGGGATTTAATATCTACCTGTATCATAGCCATTTAAGTGAGCATTTTATAGATGGCTGTACCACCAACGCACCCACGCATGCAGGCCGGACATCCGAACGAAGCACAAAGGTGGGGAGCTCGGCTGAACCGGGCAGGCGGAGCCCTCTCGGACAGGGTAAGTGAAAAATTAAAACAATAAGAAGAGGTATGGACAGGGAAATAGAACGAATTTGCGATAAAGGGAAAAAGCTGAAAAAAACGAGGCGGAATGCAAAGGGTCGTCGGGGTTCAGGGGAAGCTAGCCCCATCCATATCGGAGAAAGGAAAAGAAAACGTATGAATTGGATACTTCATTCTGGGCCTGTTTTACGTGCAACATTGCATCATCTTCTGGCTTCTAGCTTTCCTTACTGCCTTGAGCAATCATGCTTCAACTATAGCATTTGCGGTTGCCTCACGTCTCCAAAGCGGGCGCCTATGATGCCACCCACAACGGCTCTAACCTCCTATGGGGCCTGAATGGGAGAATTTTGCAAATCCCTCACGGCGACGGGTGCCACCCAAGCCAACAGCGACGAAACATTGGCCATGGGTGTGGGAGAGTGGGAGAATGTTTGCCTCTGTTGGCAGGAATAAAGGGGATTTCACATTTCTAGAGGGACCGATATCACAAGTTTGACCAGTAGGCCGTTAATGTCATGCTCCGGGCTTCGAGAAAATTAGCTCAAACAAATTCCCTCTTCGCGCTTATATTAACCCATCTTCAAGGTGTGATAGCTCGGCTACGGCGTAGAGGGATTCGAGATAAACACGGTGTCTTACAAGGCTCGGTTTTGGCGAGAATCCTGCAACGATACCGCGATAGATGCGATTGCCACATTCCCCAGCAAATAGCTACATAGGCTCAAGCACTCGGCTCCTGAGCAAGTCTTTCCGGGGTTGCCTTTTGTGTTGGGATCTTCACACTGATGAAACTTGATACCGGGTGGCGCAAGTTAGAAACCATGTGCGGATTGAAAGCAACAAATCGGTATGGGCCCTGTTCTGCGGGGTTCGGAAACCATTTATTCAGTAGTGACATCAAAAGGAGGATTTCCCGTGTGATAAACATCGTGCGTCGTCGAGTGTCCGCGCACGATTCCTGAGAAGGGAAAGGATGACGGGTTTGTTGGACATATCCCAACAGCTTTGCGGAGCTGCTGTGCTGCGTACCCCTCGTCCCCACTGGGTAGTCGTATGGTATCATTCGCTTGGGCTGTTGTTCGGTTTCACACTCCTAATACGTTTTCGGAGTCTGGAGAGTGATGAGTGAGTTGCAAGCCATCACAACCCAACGGCGATATGTGCGAACCCTGTCAGCACTACCACGAGCCACACGAAGGCCCAACAGCTGTTGAGAGCTAACCGCGGACTCGAAACAGATTCGCGACGCTGCCGCATCCACATCCGTAGGAACCTTGTCGCCCAGCTGGACGCTTACTGCAAGAGAGGTATTTCCATGAAATGCGACTGTGAGGCTCCGGAGCACGCCAATCGGGTTGGGGAGGGGCTTTTCAGAGACTGGGTGTCGGCTCGGGCAGAACCTGGATATCGAATGTCTAGGGCATCCAGGGAGTCAACCCACCCTTGACCTGATCGAAACGAAGCCCAATAATTTTGCTCGACGCAGAGAGGACACCACCAAGTCCGACATTATATTTGGAAAGGAGCAGTTTGGTGGTGTTACTCCTGGCAGGGTTCCACATAGCTTTTATCAAAGCTTCACCCTGGAGCTTGTGACTGTCTGCCCTCTCACAAGAACGATTCAATATTTTCCTTTCGCCGTATATCCCTGATTCTTGAAGACTGATATTAGATAACTTATGGTGTCCCTCCTCTCCCTCTGCAGGGCCCATTGCGCTGGCATACCTGGGCCAGGAAGGCTTGGATAAGTGAGCTTTGAACTGTCGGAGATAATATCTCGTAATATCTCGTATATTGGAGATTTTATATCACCTCTCACTTCTTGAAACCCAAGCACTGTCTTGCTTTTATAATTGAGCATTCCCCCTCTTATAAATACAACCTCTTTATCATGTAATGATCAGAGTTATCATAATCAATTCATTATTCTTTTGATATTCAGTATTTGTGTCAATATTCGGACGTTCTATCGTTCCGACACGAGCACTCCTATATCGCAGCGACAACCGCTCCTGTCAGCTTTCTTGCCTTGGATAATCAACAGAAGGAAGGGTAGCTCGTGATAGGATATTCTCTCCCCGAGTTTCACAATGTAACCGTTAGACCACCGGGTCTAGCTACTGTATCACAAATCTCTTCCAAACCACATGTCCGTATTAGTGCTTCGCTTCGAGCTACTCGAGCATTCTCCCATTCTCCCCTCTCTCACCGCGAGGAAATGCCTTCATGAATCTCCCGACATGACCACGAATCGCACTGTCTGTCCAAATGCATTGATTTGCACTCTTGCCTAGCTACTTCATTCCATAACTCTTCAAACAAGGACCCTAATACTGGATCACTTGCATTCTACCTCAGCGTCGTTAACACATTCCGGTCGTTCTAAACACGAAGCAAAACGATCGTGGAGATATTCTAGGGGACGCCTAATTCCACGGACTTAATACATCAGTTGGCTTGGCTAGCAGCAAACAAATGACAACCCGACCGTCTGGTACAATTTAGGAAAAAAATCGCTATTGTCGATTCGGGGTTGGGGACTGAGGGCTGGGAGAGAAAAATCAAACGACGCAACTAGTTATTTCGCCCCCACCGAACCAGAAACCTATGAAATGGGGTTTCCTTTGGCTAAAAGGAACTGAGAAACTCATTTTTTTGTTTTCTTTTTGAATAATCATAATCGGATTGGTGAATCCGGCAGGTTTATTGTGACAGTTTCTCGGGGATCAAAGCTAAAAATTTAGACATATTACCAGGGATTAAACCAGCTGTCCCCCAAGCGATGTAGGAAAAATTCGGTAATAAAAGTAAAAAAATGAACAAAACATTGAATAATACCTTAAACTTTTGTCCCTACCGAGGATTTTACTCTTTCATTCTCCGCTCTCCGCTCCATGCGCTGGCGAAAAGCCTCGGATGACGTACTTGCAATCCCCGATTCCAAAACATCAAAGGTAAATTGTCGAGTTGTCCTTTGGGTTGATGAGGATGGACCTGTGTGGATGGGGTATGTGCTCTGTATGCCGTACGCCGTTACTCGACGAATATTTTCCGGAGACACGAAAATATCAAAAGAACCAATAATTTCAACTTTGAGTTGCGCAGGAAGGAAACAGGAGGGGAGTCGGTGATGGGGCCCAGCACATCCATCAGCATTTTCGTTGTCATGGGATACATGTCTATATTGGTTGGCTCCAGATATTATACCCCACGAACTTGATATGATTGATGGGCAACCCAACCGAAAAAAGAAAAAAAAAAAAAAAAAAAAAAAAAAGCAAACGGCTCACCAGCAGAATCTTTGAAGCAAGTTGTTTTTCAAGAAACGAGGGGCAATTAAGAGTCGCTTTCGCGAACCACTACTAATGTCGAGAATAATTAATTAGCCCATATCAAAATAAAGGGAATACATGCCGACACTGACATGGAAGCAGCCCTATCATCCATCCTCTTATACTCCCAATGGAGGAGTCTGCAGTTTGTTTTGAAATTCCATCCCCACTAGAGCTTTGGCACATATCCCTACTCCACTCACGAAAGTTATTTCTTTCGAACGGTTAATTCTCTACAGTGAGGCGTGTAAGGTTATACATACTTGCCCATCTTTGCCGAGTGAGCTAAGGCAACACCTTGCGTAGAATGGAGTACAATAGTTGGGGAGGGTTTTGATTCACTATGTCTTCCGGGTTGTGGAAAACGAATCATGTAGCCACCATACTCGACAGTTGAAATGCCAGCGGTAAATGTAAATGTGTCACAGAGAGGCAAGGGCCCCAAGAACCTAAACCTACATCTATGAAAAGACGTATGTATATTCAGTTAGGATCTGGAGTAGTAGTGAAATGACGAAGCTTGTGCGTTTATTCTTGTTATTAGTTATCTCCTAAAGGTCCTTATTGAGATAGTTGAAGACGCACATTAGTGGGCAGGAAGAAACTGCAAAACTTGTTCTTTCTCGAGCTACTTCCAATAAAATGACAGGAAATTTTTGAGATCACAGCACTTCGCCGTTCAGTAGACTGCACGGTCGGCAATAAATGAGCTAATGAAAAACGAAGGAAGGAAGGCTAACAGCATAAAACGAATAAGATCAGTAGATGATAAAAATGATGTATCACTTTGAATCTCGCTAACTT